GCAATCAACCTAGATGCCCATGAACAGATGAATGGATAAACAATCTATGGTACATACACACAATGGAGTATTATGCAATGATAAAGAGCGATGATGAATCTGTGAAGCATTTCATAACATGAATAAAACTGGAGGACATTACGCTGAGTGAAATAAGTCAATCGCAAAAGGACAAAATGAGACCTCTACTGTAAAAACTCATGTAAAAGTTTACACACAAAAAGAAACAATCTTTGTTGGTTATGAGGGATAGGAGGGGTTGGGGGGAACTAAATAGACGATAGATAAGTGGTAACTTTGGTGAAGGGTAAGAAAGTACACAATACTGGGGAAGCCAGCACAACTTATACAAGGAAAGGTCATGGAAGCTCCATAGACACATCTAAACTCCCTGAGAGACTGAACTGCTGGGCAGAGGGCTGTGGGGACCATGGTCTCGGGGAACATCTGGCTCAATCAGCATAATATAGTTTATAAAAACAGTGTTCTACATTCTACTTGGTGAGTAGCATCTGGGGTCTTAAAAGCCTGTGAGTAGACATCTAAGATACTCCACTGGTCTCCTTCGGGAGCAAGGGAGAATGAAGAGAACAGGTTACAAGGAAAAGATTAGTCCAGAGGACTAGTGGACTACAGCTACCATGGCCTCCACCAGACTAAGTCCAGTCAGCTAGATGGTGCCTGGCTACCACCAGTGACTGCTCTGACCGGGATCGCAACAGAGGGTCCGGGACAGAACTGGGTAAGGATGTAGAACAGAATTCCGACTCACAAAAAAAGACTAGATTTACTTGCCTGATAGATGGAGAAACCCCGAGTGTATGGCCTCTGGACACCCTTTTAGCCCAGTGGTGAAGTCACTCCCAAGGTTCACTATTCAGCTGGGGATTGGACAGCCTCATATAACAAAATGGGACTAATGAGGCACAGCAGTCCAGGGAAAAGGACTAGTAGGCAGGAGGGGAGAAGAAAGCTGGTGATAGGGAACCCAAGTTTGAGAAGGGACAATGCTGACATGTTGTGGGGTTGTTGACTATTGTCATAGGGTAATGTGTGTACTATTTAATAAGAAACTATTTATTCTGTAAACCTTCATCTGAAGTATGAAAAAAAAAAAAGAATTATCTATGTGAGATCAAATTGACAACAGCAACTCAAAACGTTTGATGGGAAGCCTAGGGGTCAGTGAGTTGAAGATAATTGCGATGGAATAATTTGGAAAAGGATAGTGAGAATAGCAGCACAACTGGAAGGGTGTAATCAGTGTCGCTGAATTGCACATGTAGAAAGTTTTGAAATGGTGTATCTTTGGCTATGTATATTTTCACTAGAAAAAAAGGTCCTCCAATGTTGAGAAGGGAGAGTGTTGAAATGTCGTGGGGTTGTTAACCAATGTCATAAAACAATACATGTACTGACTGTTTAATGAGAAAGTATTTGTTCTGTAAACCTTCATCTAAAGTACAATAAAAAATAAAGTATATTGAAAAGCAAAAAATAAAACAAAAAGGTGAACCTCATCCCACCTTCCCTACCCCCAAATTTTCTGGTAATTTAAATTTAAAGGCCAAAATTAGAGAATCAATTAAACTTTGTTGTTGTTGTTGTTGTTAGGTGCAGTTGAGTTGGTTCTAACTAATAGTGACCTTATAGGACAGAGTAGAACTGTCCCATAGGGTTTCCAAGGAGTGGCTAGTGGATTTGAACTGCCGACCTTTTGGTTAGCAGCTGAGCTCTTAACCACTACGCCACCAGGGCTCCCAATTAAACTTATTTTTTATAAAGTACATGTAAACTTTATGAAGAAATTGGCACTTGAATGGGGTCTTAAAGGCATTAAAAGCGCTAAATATGAAGATATGTTAGGAAAAGTGCCCAATAACATAGATAAGAAAAGCATGTATTTTAGTTAGGTTGGTGTTTTGAAGTACATAAAGTGGAAGAAGAACGGAAAACAAAACTGAAGCTAAGTTGGGGCCAGACTGTGGAAGTTCTTTAATGTGAGGCCAGATGCCCTTTTTTTTTATTTGGTTATTGTTAGCTGCCATCGAGTTGGCCCCTGATTCATGGCACCTTCTGTGTAACAGAATGAAACGCTCCTGTGTCTTGCTGTGTCTGCATGATGGGTTGCAGGTTGGACCATTGTGATCCATAGGGCTGCCACTGGTTGATTTTCAGAAGTAGATCACCAGACCTTTCTTCCTAGTTTGTCTTAGTATAGACTCTCCACTGAAACCTGTTCAGCCTCATGGCAACATACAAGCCTTCACTGAAAGGTAGTGGCTGCACATGAGGTACATTGGCCAGAAGTCGAACCCTGGTCTCCTACATAGAAGGTAGGAATTCTACTACTGAACTGCCACTGTCATTGAGTAAACCAGTTGCCGCCAAGTTGGAATCAGCCTATGGCCACCCCAGAACGTTCCGATTCATGGAGACCCCATGTGTGTCAGAGTAGAACTGTGCTCCATAGGGTTTCCAATGGCTAATTTTTTGGACATAGATCACCAGGCCTTTCTTCTGAGGCAGTTGTTGAAATTATTTTGTTCATGTCCCTTAGCTGTAATTGGAGCTGTGTTTTTAGAGTAATTATCCATGTAGTGTAATCCCTATGGAGCATAGTTCTACTCTGACATGCATAGGGTCTCCATGAATCAGAATTAACCCAATAGCAGCTCGTTACCCATGTAGTAAAATATATTGGAGAGCATTTGCATAAAATCAAAGAGACCTTATAAAATATAATTATAGAAGTTGACTACATATTTAATATTGCAGTAGTCAATATAGAATGCTTTTAGCAAATGACTTCTGGGGATTTGCATTTTATATTTGGCAAGCCCTTTTAATTACGTGCAACTTTTTCTTTTTGTAGTTTATTTTTGTCAGAAATAAAATTCCAGCTAATTTCTCCTATTATTTAGGAGATATGTTCTCCAATCATTCCTGTTTTATTTTTAATATTAGCTTAGACAAACCATCAGAAGCAACTGTTTTGCTATTTTTAAATCAATGGAGAATAATCTACTAATCTCTAATGTCTTCTCCAGCTTAACCTTTGATAAATCAAGGAAATGTAATTTCTTTCCTTTTTCTTTTGTAATATTTGAATGTCAGCTTTTTACTTGTGATGCTGTATGCAACAGAATTGATTGGATTCTTTGCTTAATGAACTCAAAATGGTCAATTAAGGCAAAAACCAAACCCGTTGCCATCGTGTTGATTCTGACTCATAGCAACCCTGTAGGACAGAGTAGACCTGCCCCATAGGGTTTCCAAGGAGCGGCTGGTGAATTCAAACTGCCGACCTTTTGGTTAGCAGCCAAACTCTTAAGCACTGCGGCACCAGGGCTCTAATTAAAACAAAAACATTGTGAAATATGTTAAAGAACAAGTTCAATAAGTGGCAAAACTCTGAGGGTTTTCAGTAACTCATTTGTGTAGTTTCTGAAAATCATTGGCAAAAATAAACAGCTTTGTTAATTCTCAGTTGACGTACTTGAGAGGCAGTATAAAGAATAATGCAGTAGTTAAAAACGCTGAAATTAGACTTCCCTGATTTGAATCCTGACTCTACTACTTATTAGCATCGTGACCTTGGGCAAGTTACTTAACCTCTCTGTGCTTTAGTTTCCTTAACAGTAAAATAGAACCTACCTTATAGAGTTGCTGTGGAGATTAAATGGGTTTATACATGTAAAGTATCTAAAGTATTTAGAATGGGTGCAAGATACATAGTACTGATTATTGGCATTTTTTTTTATTATTATTCCATGATTTCACATAGCTAAGACATATTTTGTCAGTTTTACTTATAATTCTTGTACAAATCTTGAATTTGAGACCATAGTTTCATGCATATCTGAAAGATATTTTGTACAACTCTGCTTATGTTTTCATGAATATTTGATAGCATTCCACTATTATTAATAGAGCACATATTTTGCAACCATTAAATACTGCACTGTCATTGAGATTTAGTGCTGAATTTGGTACAAGTATCATAGTTATGATGTATATTAATAATGACTAAGTTTTTTTTTTTAAAAAAGATATGAGATTCCAAGTACATGTAGCTGATATATTAATATAACTGAAGTTGCTCTAATAATAAACTTAACATCTTCTGAAATCCTAAATAGATTTCTACCTTCTTCTCCCTATTCACTATTGATTGTGGTGGAATTTTGAGATACAAAGAAAGGCAAAGAAAATAGAAGTGTTGACCAAGAGTATTGTTAGCATATGATAATGTTTCAGCAATACATCTTTTTTCAAATACATTAATCTCTCTTATTTTGACTTTAAAATTTGGATTTATTTTATGCTTAATTATTTTATCGTAGTATAGAGTATTTCTTATTAGATCCTGAATTTCCTAAGAAAATTTTGTGCAGCATCGTATACTAAAGATGTCATTTTGAGGACTAAGGTGCGCCTGACCCAAGCCATGGTATTTTCAGTTGCCTCTATGCATGTGAAAGCTGGACAATGAATAAGGAAAACTGAAGAATTGATGCCTTTGAATTATGATGTTGGCAAAGAATATTGAATATACCATGGACTGCCAGAAGAACAAAAAATCTTTCTTGGAAGGAGTACAGCCAGAATGCTCTTTAGAAGTGAGGATAGCAAGACTTCATCTCACATACTTTGGACATGTTTTCATGAGGGACCAGTCCATGGAGAAGGACATCATGCTTGGTAGAGGATCAGTGAAAAGAGGAAGACCCTCAACAAGATGGATTGACACAGTGGCTGCAAGAATGGGCTCAAGCATAGCAGCAATTGTGATGATGGCACAGGACTGGACAGTGTTGCACCTAACAACAACAACAACATCATATACTATAAGAACATTTCCATAGTTCTTTCCAGAAAATAATCGAATTATCACTGCACTTTTAGATTTTAATTCCAAGCCTTCAATTCAGCTAATGTGGCAGTTGTTTTAGAGACCACTTCTTTACTCATGTTTGTTATCTTGCTTTCCTTTTCAGGACCAGGGTTTTAATCAAGCAGGAAAGGAGAAAGCAAAAGGTAAGGAAAAAATATTTTTATGTGTGTTAGCCCTATGAGAACAGTCATCTACTGAAGTATTTTTCCAAGAGTAATAATTCAGTTATGTGAAAATGAAGGGCCATCTTCCTTTAGTCTTTTCCATCTTTGTAGATAGCTTGGCTGGCCAACCATTTGGTTCAGGCAGACTTAAGTCATTGGGGATTCCTGCTGTCTTTTTACTTTCAAAATACATCCCAAATCTAATTACTTCTCACTGGCTGTTCTGTTAGCAACTTAGTTTAAATCACTATTATTTATTGCGTGGAGTGCTGTAATCACCTCATAACCTATCTCCTATTTCCTTTTTTTCAGTTTTTAATTACTTTTACTGCATTAAATAATAAAGTTGAGCATATGCATACCTTACAACTGAGCAGTACATATCTGAGAGAAATTCTTGCATATGTGTACTTTAAGACATAATACAAAATGGCTTGAGTCATTGTTGTACAGCCAAAAAGAAAAAAAAAAGAGAGAAAGGAAGGAAAGGGAAAGGAAGAAAGGGAAGCAAAGGAACAACCCAAATTTCTATTAGCTGTAGAATGGTTAAACAAATTGTGGCATATCCAAGTAATAGTACAGCAGTGAAAATGTACTAACTACCTGTAATCAATGTTGATGAATCTCAGAAACAATGTTGAGTAAAAGAAGCAACTGACAGAACATAAACAGTAGGGTTCCATTTATAAAGAAGTTCCAAAACAGATAAAACAGTATCAATTAAGGATATGTTCCAAGGTAGAAAAATTATAAAGAAAAACAAGGGACGATTATTATGGAGGACACTCAGTGAAATGATGCCTCATTATAGTTTTAGTTTCGATTTCCTTGATTACTAATGAGATTCATTCAGGTTTCATCTTTTGTAACCTCCTTTTCCAAGTATTTTGCACATTTTTCAGTTTATCTTTTTTTTTTTTTAATCGTGCTGTGAGAATTCTTTATCATCTCCCTGCTTAAAATCCCCAATTGTTTTCCATTGCTTTTAGAATAAAATCCAGTTTAACCATAGCCTATGAGGACCAGAAGGATCTGCACCCTGCTTGCTTCTCTGCCCTTTTTTTCTTACTACTTGACATTCTTCATTGTATTTCAGCTGCACTGATCTTCTTTCTCCCACTCTTGTTCCCTCTGTCTGGAAAAGTCTCCCTCAGGATATTTGCATGACTGACTTGTCAACATTTGGGTCTCAGTTTATCTATTTCCTCCTCAGACTGGCTTTCTCTGATCACTGCTTCTAAATAGCTCCCTACCCTCCAGTTATTTTCTATCCCACCCCCCCCCTTTTAAAATTTATAACTCTTTTCATAATCTGATATTTTCTTGTTAATTTATTTGTTTATTCTTCCCCCTTTCCTGAGGTTGTGTCTCAGGGACCACAGAGTGACCCCTTCCAAGTATGACAGTAGCAAATTGCCTGGAAGGACATCATCCGGGAAACCATTTCCGTCTGAAACTCTTCGAAGCACAGCGAGATCTGTCGCTGGCCATGCTCACTGTACCCTTGATAGCTTGAGTCCTCTTCCTCCTCGGCTCAAACCCATCTGCACGCTGGTTCAGTGTGTAATTTTTTTTTTTCTTTAATTTTATTGTGCTTTAGGTGAAAGTTTATAACACAAATTAGTTTCTCATTCAAAAATTTGTACACAAATAGTTTTGTGACATTGGTTGCAATCCGCACAGTGTGTCAGCACTCTCTCCCTTTCCCTTTACACCATGGGTTCCCCGTGTCAGTTTGTCCAGTTTTCCTGTCCCTTTTTGCCTTCTCGTCTTTGCTTTTGGGCAGCTGTTGCCCATTTGGTCTTGTATACTTGATTGAACTAAGAAGTGTCATCAGATTTCTACAAACATAATTTCTAATCTTTTGGGACCTAGGAATAGCTTTTAAAGTTCTGCTTAAAGATATTATGTTAACTAAAGAAAGATTCTGAGAGGCTGTGAAATTTAGAGTGTTTAGGGAAAATACAAGTTATTATGATTGATTATAATTTATATATATAGGCATATAAATGTAGTATCACAAAATATAAAAATATCAAGTAAATGATTTAATAGCATTATTGATTTTTTTATTATTTCTGATTCTACCTGAAGCTGTATGGTTGCTGAAATAATTCTTTTAAAATTTTTAATCCTTTTAGGAATATTTTGAAAAGAAAAGGTTAAAATCAAGAATGAAGTTACTGGGAGTTTTATCCCCTGCCAAAAATTCTGCTGTCAGTTTAGACCTTCTTAACCTGTATATAGTAAATCAGATATCTTGCAAGAAGGAAATGTCTGGTAAGTCTTTCTAATAGCGTATTATTTTGACACTAATGCAGTCATAATAACTTTCAACTTTTTAATAAGTTTATAAGCTTAGAATTCAAAAAATATGGAAAATAAACTAATTTTAAAATTTGGTTGCCCCTGTAAGTTAGAAGCTTAGCTAATTTTTGCTTAAAATCTTATATTGCTTAATGGATTTATTTTTATTTTTAGGTATGTATATGTGTCACTATATAAGATTAATTTTACAAGATATAGTTAAACTTATTAGAGTGCAGTTGTTTCAGTTATTACATCATTCCATGTAGGCAGATGTCATCAAAGCTTAGCTAAAGATCAGAGAATAAACATCTGTAATATCTTACTCTGTTTAGAGAGCTTATTCTAAGAGAGAAGCTTAAAGTATTTTTGTCTCAGTGATTAACTTACTATCTCACAACTTGAATTATTTCTTAGGCATTGCTGAGATGTTAACTATAGTAGTCTAATACTTCTTAATAAAGTCCATTTTGGCCTGTATTTGAATTCTTCAAGTAAATAAAACATTTAATCAGAGTTATTTATCTTTTCTTTCTCAAGGGGACTTGGGTTTGATATTTAATTTTTAAAACGAATCCTAAAATGAGAGCTTAATAAACAAGACACTTCATGAAGAGGGATAGAAATTGATCATAGTCTTGTTAATATCTCCTCTTTTCCTTTCTCTGCCATTTTTGTCTCTCTCTCCATAGATGACAATTTACACAGAAAATTTAGCTATACATTAATTAGAGTAAATATGTTTTCGTAGACTTTGAGAATAAAACTTTTTGTTGTAAATGTTTAATGTATTTACCTTTATTTATCCCCTTACTTCTTCACTTTCTTTTCTTTCATTCATTCATTCAACATATGCTTATTGAGTACCTTCCATAAGTACTGTCTTGAGTGGTGGAAACAATAGAAAGCAAGATTTTATTACTCAGGACTCATGGTAACATGAGACAGAAATTAATTTCATGACAGAGATTAAAAAAAGGAATACATTTCCTTACTTAACTAAAAGGAAAGGCAATAGTGCAGTTGGGCCTCAGAGGCAACTTGAATTAGGGACTTGAGTACTACCAGGATTCTCTCTCACCTCAGATATTAGCTTTATCCTCTCAGACTGTCTTCATCAGTGGGACTCAAAATGTGGCCTCAGGAAACTTCCATTGCTCATCTCTGCTAGTTTTGCCACCAAGGAAAGACCGAGAGTTGTTTCTCTGGTTCCCAATTTTTAAATTCCGTTGAAAGGCTGTTGATTTGACCTACTAGTGCCAGGTGCCAGCAGTGGAACAATTACCTATAACCAGAGGTATGGGATACTATTATTGGTCCCTCTTGGGTCAGATGGCTACCCCTATACTAATTATTTTGTCCGGAGAGGCAGGGTTTTATAAAAAAGATAGGAAGTACCCACTTGAACTGTATAATTAAGGTGGGTATAAAAAGCATTTTCCAGAAAAGAAAATTAGCGAAAAGTACTGAACAGAAAAAAAGAGTGAATTAATCAAGTACAATCAAGTGTGTTAAGTGCTGTAACAGAGAAAATACCTAGGGTCATGGGAATGTATAACAGCACTTGATACTGTCTGGGAGACAGGGAAGTCTTGGAGGAAGGAAAAAAGAAGTAGAACTGAATTAGTAAGGCCCCTTTTATGAGGAGAATGTAAGATTATAAAGAAAAAGATTTTTGAATTATCTGCAATAATTGTTGGTACTTCAATGCATTCTTCTAGTATATATAGAATATAGGTTTAGTAAAAGTTCTAAGAGGCACATTTATTTAATGAACATGATATACCAAGCAATGCTTTTAAAAGATCTTATTATTCTTATTTTTAACTATAATTATAAATTTTTTCATTATAGAAACTGTGAGAAAACCAATCCATGTGAACATGAATAGAGACATAAAATTGCCCCTGAGAAAGCATGATTTGGAACTTCCAATGTCACCTAACTGTGTTCCGTCTAAACTCTGCCTTGATGATACAGAAAACAAGTAGGTTTTAGCTAAGTTTTATATTATTAGGTATTTAAACTGATCGTTATCAACACTTTTGTTTGTTGAAAAATGTACAAGGGGCTTCCCTTCTAGCTCCAGTTTTTGTTTAGCTTTTAGCAGTATTGTAAAATTAAGGCCTTAATTAAATGGCCTAGTGTTGGTACTGTTTTACACACAGTTTGACTTCCCATATTATAGAAATTTCTATGTCCAGTATTCATATAATTTTTATGAAACTTAGCAATATTATGACCGTGCCGTCTGTATTTTTAATCTTAATTTTTTTCTTCACATTAGTATATACTGTCAAAGACTAGGCAGCAAGGAAGAACTTGGTTCAGTTCAGGTGAGATTATTTTTAAAAATTATAGTATTATATGGGGCCATTATTTTAACAATCATGACATGCCACAAAGTGGTCTAAATTTTTGAATATTGGGAAAAATTAGTAATTTTCTTTTGCATGATTCTTACAGTCTTTAAAACAATTCTTTTTAAAGCTTTTCAAGGTAAGGAGCTTATACCTTCAGAACACCTTAATAGGTTGTTACGAGAAACATTTTGGAGTACTGGTAATGTAGACCAGGCTTATGTATGCATAACATTTGATTCTACTGGTATCTGATGAGCCCCAAAGGGCCACTCACTTGGGGATTCTTATTTTGAGCTCATGTGATTATTGAGCAATTCGTCTTTTCAAAGATAGGACCAGATTATTTTATTCTATATCAAATTGTGATGTTTAGTTCTCACATTAATCCCCAGGTTATTTTTTCCTTTAAAATATAACAAATTAAATTTTAATTGATTAAAAAATATATAAATTGTGAATAAAAGCTTGAAATTTTGCTTAAGGTCCAATCCCATATTATTAACTATCCTCTCTTTTCTTTGAATTTCCAGAGTAAAACTAGATCAGAAAGATAAAGGCAATAATACTAAAATTAAAATCTTTTAGAAATTCTTCCCCCTGAATTGTGGATTAATGAAACTCAGATTTCTTGTCATTAGGAGCTGGCTATAATATGCAGGAGTGGAGTTTGAGAGTGAAAGGAAGCAGTTGTGGAAAAGGGCAGATAGAAAAGGAGTTCTTAAATATAACCTTAGTTGATAACCTCTCTCATTTTGATATATCCTGTCAATTACTGATGACTTGCCTTCCCTTGAGAATTTTTCTGTTGCAACTCCTTACCTTTTTACTTATTTTAATTTCAGTGTTTTGACTTTCTTTTTCTCCAATTTACATATTTTGTATTTTAAATGTTTGTATCTCCTTTCATATAGTCATCACAAGTTATGGACTCATGTAGTATGTCCGAACCTCAGTTCAACAGAATAGAAAACTGCAGATTCTCTCCACCATCTCTTTCAGCAGAATTGTCTTCTGACAGTCGTATTCCAAAACAAAATTTCACTCCCCAAATAACACCTAGTCCTTGGAACGTTGCATATGAAAAAAAGCAAAACGAGCAGGTAACTTTGAATCATTAATTTTTAGCATCTTATATTTTCGTGATATGATATTTTTTCTCTTTTTATAGATTTAATAAATGTAAGTTGTGAATTGCTATAGGTGTAACCAAATTAGGAGATCAGTTAAATATAATAACTCCCCTTAGGTTAAAAGAGGAGCCTTTGTGTTGCAGTGGTTAAAAGTAATCAGCTGCTAACCAGAATGTTGGCAGTTCGAACCCACGAGCTGGTCTGCTGGAGAAAGATGTGGCAGTCTGTTTTTGGAAAGATTTACAGCCTAGGAAAACCCTATGAGGCAGTTCTACTCTGTCCTGTAGGGTTGCTATGATTCAGAATAGACTTGATGGCAGTGGGTTTGGGTCGGCAGTGGGTAGGTCAAAAATTTATTTCTCTGCATTATAGAAGATTATGAATCCAAAAACTGAATGTTCTAAAACGATCTTTGAAATTATCATCTTTTTAGAATATTATTGACAGTACAATAATTGAAAATAATTTTATGTCATACGGTAGTTGATAATAGTGTAATTCATTGTAAATGACTAGTTGGTGATGTCATGGTAGCCTGATGCGCAAGATATGGAAGGGGTCCTGTGAATAGTAATGTGCAATCTCAGTGATTTCATAGTAGTCTGTTAAAGTATGAGTTGTGATGGCTTGATTCTTTTTATGATTTGGCAGATGACAACTGTTTATATGTACTTCAATTAAAACTATACAAATATATTTATATAGATAGAGATACATAGTATTAAAATGTTGTTCAATCACTGTTTTTTAGAGATAAAAATGGAAAACCATTCAAATATTTTTTATCTGAAATAGATCTGGTACAGAACATATCAAGAAGTGAACTTCTACTAGATTTATACAGAGTTTGAGAAAAATTATTAAAGATTACTATAGTAATATGTAATGATAATGAAGAAAATAGTTTTGTTATCAAGATTTGTTTTGAATTTCTCCAATTTTTAGCATGTAATGACCTTATATGATATTTATTTATTTACTTATAATTTATAGATAAATTTATAATTTATGATTTTGTAAATTACATTATTTATAATCATATTAAAACATATGACCTTGTTGTTGTTAGGTGCTGTCAAGTTGGTTCCAACTCATAGCGATGCCATGTCCGACAGAACAAAACACTGCCCGGTCCTGCACCATCCTCACAATCATTTTTATGCTTGAGCCCATTGTTGCAGCCACTGTGTCAATCCATCTCGTTGAGGGTCTTCCTCTTTTTCACTGACCCTCTGCTTTACTTAGCATAATGTCCTTCTCCAGGGACTGATCCCTCCTGATAATATGTCCAAAGTATGTGAGATGTAGTCTCGCCATCCTTGCTTCTAAGGAACATTCTGGCTGTACTTCTTCCAAGACAGATTTGTTCATTCTTTTGGCAGTCTGTGGTATATTCAGTATTTTTCACCAGTATCATAATCCAAAGGCATCAATTCTTCTTCAGTCTTCCTTATTCATTGTCCAGCTTTCACAAGCATATAGGTGATTGAAAGCACCATGGCTTGGGTCAGGCACACCTTAGTCTTCAAGGTGACATCTTTGCTTTTGAACACTTTAAAGAGCTTTTTTGCAGCAAATTTGCCCAGTGCAACGCATCTTTTGATTTCTTGACTGCTGTTTCCATGGGCGTTGATTGTGGATCGAAGTAAAATGTAATCCTTGACAACTTCAATCTTTTCTCTATTTATCATGATGTTGTTGATTGGTCCAGTTGTGAGCATTTTTGTTTTCTTTATGTTGAGGTGTAATCCATACTGAAGGATGTGGTCTTTGATCTTCATCAATAAGTACTTCAAGTCCTCCTCACTTTCAGCAAACAAGGTTGTGTCACCTATATAACACAGGTTGTTAATGAGTCTTCCTCCAGTCTTGATACCCCCTTCTTCTTCATGTAGTCCAGCTTCTAAGATTATTTGTTCAGCATACAGATTGAATGAATATGGTGAAAGGATACAACCCTGATGCACACCTTTCCTGACTTTAAACCACGCAGGATCCCCTTGTTCTGTTCTAACGACTGCCTCTTGATCTGCATAAGTGTTCCTCATGAGGACAATTAAGTGTTTTGGAATTCCCATTCTTCGCAATTTTATCCATAGTTTGTTATGATCCACACAGTCGAATGCCTTTGCATAGTCAGTAAAACACAGGTAAACATCTTTCTGGTATTCTCTGCTTTCAGCCAGGATCCATCTGACATCAGCAGTGATATCCTAGTTCCATGTTCTCTTCTGAATCCGGCTTGAATTTCTGGCAGTTACCTGTTGTTGTGCTGCTGCAACTGCTTTTTACTGATCTTCAATGAAATTTTACTTGCGTGTGATATTAATATTGTTTGATAGTTTGAGCATTCAGTTGAATCACCTTTCTTTGTAATAGGCATAAATATGAATCTCTTCCAGTCATTTGGCCAGATAGCTGTCTTCCATTATTTCTTGGCATGGATGAGTGAGCACTTCCAGTGCTGCATCTGTTTGTTGAAATACATCAGTTGGTATTCTGTCAATTCCTGGGGTGTTGTTTTTCGCCAGTGACTTCAGTGCAACTTGGACCTCTTCCATCAGTACCATTGGTTCCTGATTACATGCTGCCTCCTGAAATGGTTGAATGTTGACCAATTCTCTTTGGTATAGTGACTGTTTATTCCTTCTATCTTCTTTTGATGCGTCCTGCGTCATTTAATATTTTCCCTGTAGAATCCTTCAGATTGCAACTCGAGGCTTGAATTTTTTCTTCAGTTCTTTCCGCTTGAGAAATAGTGGGCGTGTTCTTCCCTTTTGGTTTCTAACTCCAGGTCTTTGCACGTGTCATTATAATACTTCGTCTTCTTGAGCTGCCCTTTGAAATCTTCTGTTCAGCTCTTTTACTTCATCATTTCTTTGATTTACTTCAGCTACTTGACATTCACGAACAAGTTTCAGAGTCTCTTCTGACATCCATTTTGGTCTTTTCTTTCTTTCCTGTCTTTTTAATGACCTCTTGGCTTTCTTCATGTATGATGTCCTTGATGTCCTTCCATAACTTGTCTGGTCTTCGGTTATTAGTGTTCAATACATCTTTCTTGAGATGGTCTCTAAATTCAGGTGAGATATAGTCAAGGTCATATTTTGACTCTCGTGGATTGTTCTAATTTTCCTCATCTTCGACTTGAACTTGCATATGAGCAATTGATGGTCTGTTCCACAGTTGGCCCCTGGCCTTTTTCTGACTGTTGATATTGAGCTTTTCCATCATCTCTTTCCACAGATGTAGCTGATTTGATTCCTGTGTATTTTTAATTATATTTAAAGTTTATAAATCATATAGTTGATAATTTATAAATATTATAGTAAGTTAAACTAACTTATAAGTTATAATTATATAAATATTATAATTTATATTTGAAGATAAATTTATAATTATAGCTCAATTTATTAAAGTATTTAAAATGTTTTATGTTTTACAAAGAAGAGAAAAATGAAGTATTATATTCAGTGATATATGTTAGCCTTATTAATTTAATGACCCAATAATTTGTGAATGATGCAGTGAAAAACATTCAATTGCCCATTCAGTTTATATTTTATAAGACAAAAACTTGTATTCCAAATCAGCTTACATCTTATCTTTGCTCTGTTAAACTGTTAATATGGGATAGAGAATAAACCTTTCTGTAATGTCTACTTAAACAATTTCCTGCTTGGTTATCATGTTATAGACTGCAGGTTAGTGTTTAGAGAGGTAAATAATGTTGTATCTATTTATGACAGAAGAGAGAAAAGAGAGGTTAATGTCCCTTTCCAAGGTATTCCATTGATCAGGCATAATGTCACATGGTAAAGGATTAAGAAAGTATTTAATAGCTTATTTGGAGGGATTTCAAGAACAGAGAGACAAATTAAAATGAAATTATACAAAAGAAAATGAGTTGAAAGAAAAGATTAGGAAGAAAAAGTGGTTTTGGGCTCATTGGTCCCTAGGGATGTAGTATTGAACTAATATGTAACATTACAGTCTCTTCTCTTTTGATTTATTTCTTTCTCAGTTCAAGGGATGACTTTATCTCTGCATCTCTGTTACTGTCTCTCTTTCTGAGGCCAAGATGTAGTATCAGACTTTATTACCAGCTCACTCTGATTTTGGATTTTTTTAAGACTTCTTTTTCCTCTTCCTTATTCCCCCTCTTTTTTCCTATTTCTCTCATTGATTGTCTTTGAACATCTCATTTCTGTGTCATGGGTTATAAATCACATATACTACATATATAAATTATAATTGTTGAATAGGAGTAGTGTTGGGTCAGTATAATATCTTACTTTTATATGGCACCTTCCACATTAACAAATGAGTTATCTGCTTCTCCTACAGTCTTCACATAACATTTTGTACTCAATAATATTGATATTCAGAAAGATTAAAGTAGCAATCTAAAAGTACTCAGTGAAGGTAGAACTGAGATAGTTCAGCTGTTTTATTTCAATAAACTATTATTTCCTGTCATAGCAATTTAACTTTGATTTACTCAAGATCTTGGTTGTTCTGGGTGTTTTTTGTATCTTGTTTAACTCTCAAAAAATGGTTAGTTCACCATAGAATCAACTCTGTTATTTTCACAGTCATTCAAATACTGATACTAGTTTCATTGTTAGAAAATTATTTTCTTTTCACTAAGGACTACAATTACTTTCTTTTAGACTAAAAAAAAAAATGTTGTTGTTGTTGGTCGCCACGGTGTCGATTCTGGCAACACCATGTGTGAAAAGTAGAACGGCTCCATAGGGTTTTCAGGACTATGACCTTTCAGAAGCAGATCGCCAGGCCTATCCTCTGAGGCATCTCTAGGTGGGTTTAAACCGCCAACCTTTTGGCTACTAGTTGAATGCTTAACTCTTTGCGCCACCCAGGGACTCCTAAATATAGATGTTGTTGTTGTTAGGTGCCAACGAGTCGGTTCCGACTCATAGCGACGCTGTATACAACAGAAAGAAACACTGCCTGGCCCTGCACCATCCCCACAATCATTATTATGCTTGAGCCCGTTGTTGCAGCCACTGTGTCAATCCATCTTCTCAAGGGTCTTCCTCTTTTTCGCTGATCCTGTACTTTACCAAGCATGATGTCCTTCTCCAGGGACTGGTACTTCCTGATAACATGTCTAAAGTATGTGAGATGAAGTCTCGCCATCCTTGCTTCTAAGTAGCGTTCTGGCTCTACTTCCACTTAAATGGCCTTTATATGGTAAATAGTTTATTTTGTATATATGCACATTTACTATTTTGGCAGTTTCTTTTCCTTTTTTTTTCAGCCCAGTAATGTTAACTATTCGAGATCCTTGCTTCCCAAATTAAATGAAAGTCAAGATGCTCCCATTTCATCATATAAAGCTGCACAGTTTGGAACATTATTTGAAAGATTAAACAGGTAAGCAAAGATGCTGAAGGAAATAAAACTGTAGCATACGTTCAGTTACTTAATTTTTAATGGACACAAATATTTTTAGTTAGAAATATAAACCTACTTTAGGAAAACTAAAAAAAATTCAGTAGATGTAAAATGTAGCATTTAATTATAGTTGTTTAAGTAATTATTTTTTAATGTGTACGTCTACCTTTCATTTATTTATTTAAAAAATATTTTGATCCAAGGTGTTTTTTACCTATTTTATATTCTCCGTGTATTAGTTTTTTTTTTTTTCCTGTATCATAAATATGTTGCTTTCTTTTTCACATATGTGGTAGTTGGTACAGCAGAATTCCGCTTTTATTTTCTAGATGTCTGTATATAAACTCTGGTTCACTGTTTTAAATTCCATTAAACTTGTAAAACCAGTTTGAACACTTTTGGTAATCATAGTGAGAAACCTTGGCTCTGTAATCCTGTCCCAGCCTTCGTCATTTTAGTAAATGGCACTACTATTCAATCAGTTGCTTAAGCCAAAAGAATAAGAGTTGTCCTTGCTTTCTTCCCTTCCTTCACATTCCCAATATTCATTTCATCAACAAAATGTTTTCAATTCTGTCTTCTAAGTGAACTTTAAGCCTGTCTGCATACTTTTCCATCTCAATGGGTTCTCAGTCTACACCACCACTGTCTTTTTCCTGGAGAATTATAATAGCCACATAGCAGTTCTTTTTGTTTCTTCTTTGTCCCAAGATCCATTTTTTTACAGCTTTATTAATGTAAAATTGACATACAGTAACTGAACTTATTTAAAAATGTATGCTTTGACAAGTTTTGACATATGTCAAAGTAATGAACTTATTCATCATCCCTAGTACTTTCTTTGGGCACCTTTGTAATTCCTCCCACCTGTGGCTTTACATTCTCTCCTCACATCCGCAACCACTGTTCTGCTGTCACTGTAGATTAGTTTGTATTTTCCATAATTTTATATATATGGTATCATTCAGTATATTCTCCTCTTTTTGTCTGTTTCTGTCACTCAGAATAATTGAGATTCATCCATTTTGCTGTGTGTATTGGTAGTTCACTCCTTTTTTTGCTAAGTAGTATTCTATTGTATGGGCATAGCACAGTTTATTAATTCACTTGTGGGTGGACATTTGACTTGTTTTAATTTGTTTTAGTTTTTGACTATTCCAGATAAATTTCTATGAAAGTTCATGTACAGGTCTTTATTTGGACATGTTTTCATTTCTCTGGGGTAAACACTTACGAGTGGAACGACTAGGTCATATGGTAGATATGTTTAACTTTTTAACCCTTTGTGACTAAGCAAACATACTGTATCTTAGCCACTTTTTATGCCTCTGGAGTTCCTTGGGAGTATACTTCTCCTTCTAAAAGTACTTGCTTCCCTCCAGTGCGGACTTGTATAATGGTGAAAGGCAAAAGAAACAGTCACTGAAGCAAAATAGCTGAGGTATTAGGCAAAAGCAGAGGTGCCCCATGTACCCAAATGGAAGGCACCCCACAATAAAGCCTGCTACCCAAGACCAGTGGGCCAGATGGGCTCCCAGAAATCATGTATTTTCACATAATATTTCTCAAAATCTGTATTACCAGCCCAAAATTTAAACACACTTAATGACTCAGCATACATTCCTCTACTGAAAACACATGATATTAACAAAAAATTCAAAGCAGAAAATATTTGGGTCTTTTAAGAAACTGCCAAACTGTTTTCCAAAGTCATTTATACCATTTTATATTTTCTCACCACAATATATGAGAGTTTCAATTGCAACACATTGTTGCCAGCACTTGGCAGTCTTTTGAAATTTAAACCATTCTAGTCAGTGTATAGTTGTATTTCATTGTGGTTTTAGTATGCATTTTCCTAATGACTAGTGATATCGGCATCTTTTCATGTGCTTGCTAGCCATTCATGCATCTCTGGTGAAATGTTTACTCTTTTCATCTTAATGGTATCTTTTTGAAGTGCAAAAGTTTTAGATTTTTTTTTAAGGCTTTTTTTTAATTGTACTTTAGATGAAGGTTTACAAAACAAATAGTTTTTCATTAAGCAGTACACATGTTGTTTTATGACATTGGTTAACAACCCCATGACATGTCAACACTGTTCCTTCTCAACCTTGGGTTCCCTATTACCAGCTTTCCTATACCCTCCTGCCTTCTAGTTTCATTTTGTTTTATGGGGCTGTCTAATCTTTGGCTGAACAGTGAACCTCAAGAGTGACCTCATTACTGAGCTAAAAGGGTATCTGGGGGCCATACACTTGGGGTTTCTCCAGTCTCTGTCAGGCCAGTAAGTCTCATCTTTTTTTATGAGTTAGAATTTTGTTCTACATTTTTCTCCAGCTCTGTCCGGGGCCCTCTGTTGTGGTCCCTGTCAGAGCAGTCAGTGGTGGTAGCCGGGCACCATCTAGTTGCACTGGACTCAGTCTGGTGGAGGCCGTGGTAGTTGTGGTCCATTAGTCCGTTGGACTAATCCTTCCCTTGTATCTTGTTTTCTTCATTCTCTCTTGCTCCCGAAGGGGTGAAACCAGTGGAGTATCTTAGATGGCTGCTCACAGCCTTTTAATACCCAAGATGCTACTCACCAAGGTAGAATGTAGAACATTTTCTTTATAAACAGTGTTATGCCAATTAAGCTAGATGTTCCCTGAGACCATGGTCTCTACAGCCCTCCGCCCAGCAGTTCAGTCCCTCAGAGAGTTTGGATGTGTCTGTGGGGCTTCCATGACCTTTTCTTGTACACATTATGCTTCCCCAGTATTGTGTACGGTCTTAACCTTCACCAGAATTACCACTCTATTGTCTATTTAGTGTTCCCCCCCACCCCTCCCATCCCTCATAACCAACAAAGATTGTGTCTTTTTGTATAAAGGACAAATATTGAATGAAACCACTACTGTAAAAACTCATGAAGAACTCAAGTTTTAGATTTTGATGAAGTAAAATTTATTAATTTTTTCATTTATGAATCATGCTTATGGTGTCATATAACTAACAATTATTTGCCTCACCCAAGGTCATGAAGATTTTCTCTTATGTTTTCTTCTGTTTTTAGTTTTAGTTCTTATTTTTGGGTCTCTGATCTATTTTGAATTAATTTTTAAGTGTGGTATGAGATAAGGGTCTAAATTCATCTTTTGAATTTCTCGAAAAGAATATCTTTTCTTCATTTAATTGCTTTGGTGCTTTTGTCAAAAATCAATTGACCAAAAGTATAAGATTCCTCTGCCACACCAGGACTCTCAATTCTATTCCATTGATTAGTGTCTTGATTATTGTAGCTTTGAAATCAGGAACTATATTAGTCTTCCAGTTTTTTCTTTTTCAAAAATGATTTGACTCTTCTTTGTCCTTTGCATTTACATATAAATTTTAGAATCAGCTTGTGGATTTCTGTTAAAAAACAAACAAACAAACAAAAAACATGCCTGGATTTTGATAGAAATCGTATTGCATCTATAGATCAATTTGGGGCAAATTGTCATCTTAACTATAGTGATTAGTCCAATCCACGAACAAGAAATGTCACTTCTCTTATTTTGGTCTTCTTTATCTCAGCAGCGTATTGTAGTTTTCAATATATAAGTCTTATGCTTCTTTTGTTAAATGTATTCCTAAGTATTTTATCTTTTTGTTGCTACTGTGAATGAAATAGTTTTCTTAATTTCATTTTTGGATTGTTCATTGCTATTATATAGAAAGGAAGTTATTTTTTTTTTAATTTAAAAAATTTTTTTTATTGTACTTTACTTTTTTATTTTTAT